ATGAAATGGATTATCTGGACCCCTTCCGGTCAGGATTCAGGCCTGGTTATGGGACAGAAACGACATTGGTCGTACTTGTTGAGGATCTTTGGCAAGAGCAGGATGGAGGTAGTGCAACCATCCTCACTCTACTTGACCTCTCAGTGACCTTCAATACTATCAATCATGTTGGGGTCAGCTACAAGTCTGGGATTGAGTGGCACAGTCTTGCACTGGCTCAGCTCCTTTTTTCCAAGGCAGGTTCCAATTAGTGTTAATAGGGAATGAGAGGTCCCCATAGCCGCTATCTTGTCCTGTGCCACAGAGCTCAGTACTCTCTCCACTCCCTTTTAATATCTACATGAAGCCGCTGGGTGAGATCATCCATGGGTTGAGGTATCATCAGCATGCAGCTTTATAGTCCTACCCCTGATGATCCAAGTGATGCTGTGGCTGCCCTCTTGCTGGCAAGGAAGGTTGAAAACCACTAGAGTAAGTCTTCCCTACCTAAGCACCCTCCCTGAGCCTTGCTGCACCTTCCTCACCCCTTCGAGCAGCCCCTACACATTCATTGCATGCCCCTTGCAGCCCCTCCTGGTGTTTCCCTCATGCCCCCCCTTCACCTGGCCACAAACTTGCTTCCTGCCAACTTGCTTGCAAGCCACCTAGGACTTGGCAACTTCCTGTCAGCTTTTCCACTGACTTGGTTGTGAGAAGCTGGCAGAAAGTTGTGTCACTTAACAACCATGGGATTCATTTAACAACAGCAACAGCAGGATTGTAGTTGCACATTTTTTTATTTTTTAAATATTTTTATTATGTATTTTTCCTTAATATACTTAATAGTTCCAATTATACAACATCGTTGTGTACTGGTTATATCAAATCCCTTCCCCCCCCCCCATCATATTATACATCCTAGTAAAACTATCATACAGTATAATCTCTACATCATGTTATACATCCTGATTATAACTATTATTTGCTTATGTCTACCATAATACACTATTACAATTCTCATTTTGTGTATTTCATACTATATCCACATACAATTCAATAATAATATTTCTTACAATGTTTATTCTTACATATTCCGCTATCACTGTATATATTTGTATTTTGTTAATCTTTCCTTATTTAACACTAATCTCTGCATCTATTATTTATCCAATTATACAATATGTCCCATGTTAGGTAGTACTCTGATTCCTTTTTATCCTTGAGTTCCATTGTAAGTCTGTCCAGTTTGGCACATTCTAATATTTTTTTATTACTTCCTCCTCCATGGGAATCCTTTCACTCTTCCAGTGTTGTGCGTATAAGATTCTAGCTGCAGTTATTATATGTATGATTAAATTATACCCTATGACTATTATTAAGTGTTGTACCTTATGATTCTTCACTCTTGAAGAATGCATCTTTTTTTTATGAACACTGTGAGCATATGCACAAAGACAAATTCCTTGTGTGTCCAATCACACTTGGCCAATAAAGAATTCCACTCTACTCTGCTCTACTCTATTCTAAATATGTGGGTCTTTTATTATATTTCCATCACTTTACAAAAAGAAATTCTGGTCCCAATTGCCACTGTAACTCGAGGACTACCTGTATTTATGAAAGTTCAAGTCCTACAGTAACTGGTGTATAAACAGTCGAGCAGATAGAAATACTCAGGCTTTATAGGCCTGTAGAGACTTCTGTGATAATAAAACAATGAAGTAATAGTTGGGTATTCTGGTTTCACACACTCGTAATCATACTCCTTAACCTATTTTTTCACGTCCTTGGTATTCCTCAATTCTTCTATCTGTACCTCCTTTGTACTTTATGCTACCATCTGTATCTTTTTATGAGTTTCTGTTTAATCTGAGATATTCATGCCTGGAGTTAGGTCTACTATAAAACTTGTTTTCCAAAAACATGCTGTTCCTGTTGAAACATTCCCAACTCAAGTATCTTCCCACAAATACATTATAGTAAACAAGAACCATTCCTACAGAAACTTAGCATGATCTGGTGACCTTTGTTAAAAGATACCATCAATAGGAAATGACTGATCTGAACCTCATCTAAAAGTTCAATAAGAGAGAAACTCACTGGATTATTTTAGGAGGATTGTATGATGCTGGTAGTGGTATTGCTGACTTGCAAAAGAGTTTCTTAGAAAAAATGCCATAGTGTTATTCTTACTGTTATTGTCATGAAAATACTTCTTTCATATAAAAAGGCATCCTATGGTGATACTATGTTCATGTATCTAATTGCCCAATGTTGCTAAGGTGTTAAAACAGAAAAGATGCAACCTTAGATTCATGTGTTCTCTAGTCAATGGGAGATGGAGAATTTGCAAAGAGTAAAGCCAATTTTCCCGAATGTGGTTTTCCTAACACAGCATTTCCTTCTAATCTTTGCAAAGGCATTAGCAGTCCTGATATAAATATAAAGGCATGCCAGCATACTGGAGTAAGTTTTTCCACATTAAACAGTCAGTGACAACTAGCATGCCCAGGATTACATTTTCTCTAATAGCATTGCGTTAGTCTAACTCTTGCTAATAGCAGTAAGTAGAAAAGATCATCTGTTCTGTGTAAATTGCTCTTACTACCTTCCAATGGAATTTGCTGCTTGGTTATTCTGACATCCCTAACCTCACAGTGACATTCAAACTGTTCTGTAACTGAACTTTTAACTTGAAGCTCTTCAAACTGCACACAGCTCGATCCAGTTCTTAGGGCTTGTTCCTCTCCTTATTCCTACCTTCAGTGGTTTCTTCAGAGCTCTCTGCTCCAGTTGTTTTTCAAACAGTTGCAAATTAAGAATGGAATTCCAAAGCAGAGGAGATTCCTGTGCAATTCCAGAGAATGAAGAATTATCTGACATTCCTCAAACTGCCCAGGATAACTATGTGAACGAGGGCGAAAGAGCCATGTCAAAATTGCAGCGCAGGCACAGTGACGTAAAAGTATACAAAGAAATATGTGACTTCTATGCAAAATTGTAAGTTTACCTTCTCAGTTGATCTGGGACCTAGGCTACTCGTGTTTCTTCAAGCATAGTTTTGATTGATGTTCATGTGACTGAGTGATATAGCATGACCCAGTACAAGATGTTGTGGAGGTTTTGTATATTAATCTGGGTGTTGTATGTACTGTATTATGTAATATGTGTATTTGTTTGTATTTGTGTATTTGTTCCAGAACTAACTTCCTTTATTGGACTCCTAATGTCCTCTTTGGGTGTATTACAGTCTACACATGAAGTGGCAATAGTCTATCTCATATATAGTATGAAATACTTGTCTGCAATTAAAATACGTTTTCTAAATTCCACTGAAAATTCCTTATTTGGACTAACTAGTGTACAAGTAGCTGTGCATCATAATCCTTTACGCAAAGAGAAAATGTATTTTCATATGTCTCATTTCCTAGTAAATATGTACCACATTGAATCCTGGCATAAAAATCCTATACATAGCTAGGTTGAAATGTTGGACTGTTTCCAGGGAAGTATATATAGGATTGTTTTTTAAATGGCAATCCAGGCTACTTTTAGCAGAATATAAGTTCCATTGATCATAGTGAACTTTATCTCGGGGTGGGGTGGGGGGGGGACTCTTAATAGCACATGCTACATATTTCAGACTTTCACAACAATATTGCAGTCAAAGTTTAATTTGAAGGAATTTTACATTGCAAAAATGGGAGGAAGCTGCCGATGTGCATTCCACTTCATGAGTATTATAGAGAGATTGTTTTGGAAATGCTGGCAAAATTCAGTGGCATCTGAAAATAAGCTATTCTGCAGCTGTCTCAATCCTGTATGGTAATACTGCGGTTACTATCCAGTGTACTTCACTTAATGCCGAATGTGAGACTTGCAGTTTCTTAAATTACAAACTGTTTTAAGCGTAGATCCTCCATTGCAAGCGTTACGTGTTGTTCTGTAGTTAGAAGCAAAGTGTTTTATTATGGATTCTAATCTATGTTAAGATAACATTAGAATGCTTGGCACTTCCCAAATTATTTATCTGTGTTTGCAGTGAGTGGAAACTGACTGGAGTATTCTTCTAAAATGTTAAGAATAGCTTGTACAGTCATCACACAGGGATGTGGAAAAATTCAGATAGCTTTTTTGGCACAATCAAAATCTACTTAAACATTTTTTTAATGTTTTAGATCAGATACTTAGGATGGCATAGGCTCAAAAGAATTTCAAATTATTCCATGTGTGACAATTTTCTTAACGTTTGATCAGTTGTATCATATGTGCTACATACACTGAGATGCGAGAATTTGAATTTCTTTATGCAATTCATAAAAATATGCTGGAGAAAGCTACAAAATATGGACAAAGGATGCATAGCAATTGGATATTCTGATAAAATATCTGTGCATACGATTTTCTAATTTGTTCCTGCATCTTTTACACTGAGGAAAAGGGTGAGCTAGATATGTGTCATACAGCAAACAACTCAAACACTGATGCATCATTTGGATAGAATATTATCTCAATACCTATCCTACATAGCATGTTTAAATCAAAACTACCATGATCAGTGAGTACCCTTCTGTGATTACCCCATGCCACTGAGGAAAAGCACAGAGAGGCAGAAATGTGAGATCTCTAGGCCATACACATCTTTTGGTATGACTACTGATCCATAAAATGAGGACCCAGATTGTTGGGGGCAATATGCTGACTCTAAACTGCTTAGAGGGCTGTAAAACACTATAAAGGATTTCTATAAGAACTGAACTTCCCATTGACTCCTTCTCTCCTTCAGCTGCTTAGTTTGCCTTTGCTACCAACATCTGATTTCTCAAATAGGAACCAGTGCTAACTGAAAAGGGGGCTTCTCCACTGGCTGGTAAGGCCAGCGTACTACAAATGATTACCTTTCTTAATAAAACCCAAGGAAAAGACTTGCCTTCTTTATTGCCAAGCTTGAATAAGCTGCCTCTTGTCACAAACACATGCTCATCTGAGTTAGGTTCTCATGCAGTTCTCTTTTGTTACAGCAACATGGCCAATGCTCTTGCCAATGCCATGTGTGAACGCTGCCGAGGAGGCTTTGCACCTGCAGAAAAGATTGTGAACAGCAATGGAGAGCTGTACCATGAACAGTGCTTTGTGTGTGCCCAGTGCTTCCAGCAATTCCCCGAGGGACTTTTTTATGAGGTCAGTTCCTTTGACTTGTTGCTTCTGCATTTAGAAATTAATCCGTGTTCCAATATTTTGTTTCAAAAATAGAAGATGACACTTTTGAAATCAGGTAGAGTTCAGTGATCTATCTTGCCTTGTAACCACAGTGCACTCTAGAACATCTTATATTAGAAATCTCAAATTTAACATTTGATAAAGCATTCTGGAAACCAGTTCCCAGCCTCACATAAGGTCAGCCTTTACCATCTTGCTTCTCTACTGGAGTGCTGGGCTCATAACTGCTGGTATTCCAAGATAATGTAAATTTATTCATTCATTCAATAGTATCACTATTGACTCTGATGGCTGTGATTTTAGCAGCCTTAATACCTCTAGCAGCTGCTGTTAAGAAAGACTGCATTAGGTAAATGCATGTATCCATTTACCGTGTGTTAAATTATCGTGGATACTTGCAATACTTAGTTTTTGTACTGAGGTTTTATCTTTGTAAGCTTTTTGGAGTCACCAAAAGTAAGTTGGGCAGCCAAAGAAATTTTAAAAAATAAATAAATATTTATCAACTTCCTTCAAGAGCTTAAAATTATTCCCTCTTTTTCATTTCAACTCTACAACAGTGTTATAAGCTAAATCTGGGGTGGGGGTCTTCTAGTGAGGGTCATGGATGAACATGGATTTTAATTCTGGTTTCCTTGATTAACAGCACTCCATTCATGTCATCATAAGTTATCATTTGCAAAATTGGTCATGTAAAGCTTTTGTTTAAAGGACATACAGTGCAGCAATGCACAAATGAATAATTGCAGTTTTCTCGAAGCTCATATCTTGGTGTCAAAAAATCCAGAGTGACAAAGAAACAATGATTAGCTATCTACAAATGCTAACCAGGTAGTATTTTTTAATAAGGGAGATTCAGTTTTCAAAAGGATTGCATTTCTTGTTTTTCACCTTGTCTGGAACTCATCTTCAATTAATTTTTCAACAGAGTCGTTTTGGGTATTGTGCTACAACCTGAAAACATATTCAGATGCTTTCTACAAGCTGCTGATTGCTCCAAGACACTGTTCTAAGACACTTGTGGTGAATCATAGAGATAATAGGAATTAAAATGTAATCCTGATGGAAACTTTTGCAACAGTCAAAATATTTCTGCTTACCTTGGTCAGGATAGCTTCCTAAAGAAGAAATACTGTTTCCTGAACTAGTACAAAATGATCATGCCCAACCAGCTGAGACAGATGAAAGCCAATTTTAACTTTACGTACATAGCCTGAATATTATCTCTTCTATGACAATGGAACTGCTCTGTTGTACATAATGTGAAATTTAAAGCAGGCTACAAAAAAGGTTTGGTTTTGATTTAACCAATGAACTCCCTGTCCCAGAAAGGATTCCTTGGTTTAATCCAGAGTTTGCAATCTTTTCCAAAGGTTGGATATTTTTATCTGGAATTTTTCCAGAGGATTTGCCCACAGTATACACAAGGATCTCACCTTCAAGGGTCTTGAACCATATTTAATGATTTGCTTTCTTTTGGCCCAAATTAAGAATGTGTATTATGCATTGATAGCACCAATACCTTACAATTGACTATTTTGTTTGAATGACCTATAATACAATCCTAACAAGATTTGTTTTATTGTGTTAGTTAAGGGAGTAGCCAGAATTTGGGTAAATTCTAAAGGCATGCTGCTCTTTTACAGCAACTAGTATCTAGCCTGGGCATGTGTTAGTCTCAAACAAACTTCATTGAAAAAATAGATATTTATAATAATCTCTTAATATTTTTAATAGATCAATAAAATGAAAGTAGACACTTCCAGGAAATCAGGCATAATGAGTTTGTTTAGATACTCCTTTTTACTGTACAAGACTGAAAACATGCATATATTTATCTGAATTAGCATATAGTATTTGAACTATATGGTTCCTTTTTAATTCCTGTAAAATAGTGTGACCATTTAATACTAGTAATGCAGGAAATACATTATTCTTCTGCTTCCTTACACATTGTATTTTTTTAGATTTATTTTTATTCTGCCTTTATTATTTTTATAAATAATTCAAGACAGCGAACATATCTAATTCTTTTTTCTCCTCCTATTTTCCCCACAAAAACAACCCTGTGAAGTGAATTGGGCTGAGTGAGAGTGATTGGCTTTAAACATGAAATAACTTTCCTGTTTAAAGCAGGATTAGAACTTATTATTCCTTGGACATATGCCCTCTTAAAGTACTTGTAAGTAAGAGCACTTATAGGCCATTTGGATTAAATCTTACATCTGAATATCCACAGTGTGCTCTGGTAGAGTTATAATGAACTATTTAGATAACTGAACTTTAATAAACTTTTTTGTTAGAAGAAAAACTCAGAATCAAATTCAGCTATACATGCTCAGCAGTTTAACTGTGGTTTTCTTGTGACAGTTCATGGGTATAGTGGTTAAGGCGATGGCTTAGAAACCAAGAGCCCGAGTTCTACTCCTGCTATTAATTTTTTCCTATATTTAAGATATTTAGTTCACTGAAATGTCCTCTCAAGTTTTAAACTGCTTTGTGTCTCGCAAATTTACTGTGCACTTTCATGTTTGTTAGTAAACATGCACTAAATTGCTCAGGTTTGCGGTGCTAAATATTCACTTCAGCAGAACCCTAATTAATTCATTAATTTGGAAATATTCTTTGCAATTATCAAATTGCTTCTATATAAGAGTTACATAGGAACAACTGACATTCAGCAGATTTAAGTCCAGAGAAGCAGAGTTCCTAGAGTAATGTTGGGATAGAACCAATTAAACAAACATGCATATTTACATACTAGGATTATCCATAATATCAGGCAGTCTGATATCATCATGATGCCATGGAAATGGCTTATTTATTTCACATCTGCTTGAACTTAAACTCTGTTTATTCTAATACATTATCACATAATTTGGAAAAAAGGTGATGTTCTCTAGGGCAAAATAAAGGCCTGACACAAACATTTCCATCTTTCCAAAACCATTTGCCTAGAGCTCCCTTTCAGGAAATGTAAAGAACGGAAGAAATATATAGCTGACAAAATATGTTTCCTGCATTGAACGCTAAACAGATGTTCATGATGAGAATATCTCTTGATTTGTGCCCAGATGTTGATCATTTCATCAGAAGCATCATTCCTTACTTACTTACATTATAAAGCGTACTGTGTAAGTGTAGCTTGATCAAATATAAAATCATGTTGGAGTTTATTTTATTAGAAATCTTAGCAGTTAAAAGCTATAGCCATAATATATGTGGAATCATACTCACCTCTTCTGATAGCATGTCCTATTTGTCTGTTTTCAGTTTGAAGGAAGGAAGTACTGTGAACATGACTTTCAAATGCTTTTTGCCCCTTGCTGCCATCAGTGTGGTGAGTTTCAGAAAAATATATTTTAAAGGTCTGTTGGCCTTTTACAGTGTTTCTTAAAAAAGCTGAATAGTTATTTAAAAAGCAAGGCATATGTCTATTAAAAATGTTTCCTGTTGTCCTCAATCTGTATCTTCAATCTGTATCTGCAAATGGAATTAAAATATATGAAAATCTTGATTGGGAAGGGCTTTTCTCAGAATATGACCATATGCCACCATCGTATTCATCCAAGAACAGTCATTAAACAATTTTCAGTTGACATAGAAACATTCGTTCTGTAATAAAATACAGAATATCTTGCCTGAAAGTCTTCTGTGCATACATTTTCATGCCACGAAATTAAGCTGAAGATTTTGTTAGAACACAATAATGTTTAAACCCAACTTGTACCATTTTGATGTGAAGTGGACGTTGCTATTGGAGGGAAGGGGAAGCAGACTAAAATATCTATTTTCCCTTGGTCTGCCCTTAAGCAAGAGCATCAAGGCACATAACTTAAGTAGAGTGAGATAATAGTCTGTTTATCAAGTGCAGACATGTTGCTTCCAGGAGAATGGAAATTCCTGCTGTAAAAATATAGAATAAAAAAGAAAAAAATCAGAGTTACTTTCAGTAATATTATGAGGAAAACAAAGTAAAAATTAGAGCGTACCGATATGCCTGCAGGTGTTTGTGTTTTGCACCTGCATATATGTAAGCTTCTTGATAAAGTCACTCAAATTGAGGAAAAAGATCAGAAGCACACATTTTGATTGTGCTTCTGTTTGCTGGGATTCATTGAAGCTGTGTTCATTCCCAAGTCAATCCCTTCTGTCAGCTCTGAAAAGAGAGTAATTTGCTGTACCTGCCATAAATGCTCTTCTACAATTATTAACATCTTTTTCCACAGTTAAACTGAATCATCTATAAAATATTCTCTGTATCTGATAGATTCTGACCTACAAAGAGTTATGCCACAAAAATAGGCTAGTCTTTAAGGAGCCCCAAGATCCTTCTTGTTTTACTCATTCATGAGAGACCCAAGATAATGTTAGATTCAGTGGCCTGGAAGAGGAGGAATGAAACAGTTTATTTCTATTAAGGAGTGCCCCTCACCAGCCAAAACGAGTAAAGGGTATTATATATCAAAGCTACTGTACATAATGAGAAATAGCTTTCTGATAGAACGAACATGTAAATGAGACATCTGAGAAGCATAGCTCTGAACTTGTACTGATTTTTATGTTAAGGATTGAAGCTCAGTTATTTTTAATATTCCATCAATTTTGCTGTCAGTCCTCTCATCTTACTGACATCTTCCCATTAAATAAAAGCTGAATTTTAATATGCATGTTGAACAATTGAAAAACCACATTACAAATTGATATACTTTGACATGTCAATTACTTTTCTAAATCTACCGAAATATATCAAATTATATTAATAGATTAAATCCAAAGTGCCATATTTACTATCTAAATATGATGTAATTCTCAATATTTCTAGCAATCTGTAATGCAACAGTTATATTCATTTATTTTGCTTTATATCTGATCTTGACAGGATATAAATAGGATCAAAATTAAATACCAGTTTATATTTGGCAAGAAGTTTGGACAGCCATTTGTCTAAAATGGTATAGAATCTGCTTGAGGAGGGAATTTGGACAAGACCTCCAAAATCCCTTCCAACTCTATTAGTCTGTTATTCTGTTAAACGTCATTTATCTAAATATAGTTATAAGCTATGAAAGTGGATAGTGATAGTAAGACGACAGTAATGTTTTATTTCTCTATTAAGCTATCATAATTTCCCATTGTAATAATTTAATAAACTTGTTTTAATATCTCCTGTTGAATTTTAGGGGAGTTTATAATTGGTCGGGTTATTAAAGCTATGAACAATAGCTGGCACCCAGAATGCTTCTGTTGCGATATCTGCCAACAGGTACTGGCAGACATTGGATTTGTAAAGAATGCTGGCAGGTCAGTGTTATTTCTCTTCCCTTGATTATAAATCTGAACGTAGTGAATTTTTATAACATTTGAAATATTTGGAAGCTTCAGTTGATTCAAAATGTGGTGGCCCACATGATTTTGTGCAAGCCTAGTTTTGCACATATGTCAGCCTCTTCTGCAGGATCTGCATTGGCCACCAATCTCCCTCCAGTCCAATTCAAGGTAATACTTGTCACTTCAAAGCCTTATATGAATTGGGACCAAGTTATTTGAAGGATCATCTTTTCCCAATCAGACCTACCTGACCCACAGAGCAGGGAGACAGAGAACGCTATGAGTTCCCTCTCCTAAAGAGGTCCATCTAATGGAACAAACAACAAAGGGCCTTCTCCATGGTGGCTCCATCTCTATGGAACATCATCCTTGCAAAGATAAGACTGGCTCCCACTTTGACACTATTTTGCAAGACCCTGAAAACAAGGTTCTGCCAAAGGCCTGGAGAATGATACGGGGCCCATCAAGTCGTCCATTTGATTGTTGTTGCCAGTGGGATGGGGAATTATTGCTTTTTGTATTGCTTTTATATTGGGATTTTATTCTTGTAAGCCACTCGGAGTCACTGAGAACAAGTTGGGCAGCCATATAAATTTTCTAAAATAGATAAATCACCTTTACCTAATAATGGCAAAATCAAGGCAATGTAGTCTTTGACATTGCTGATTCAGAAAATAGGGATTTTAATATAGGGAACTAATCTTATCTTTTTTTGTAAGGAAAGGGCATCATTTTTCCTTACAAAAAGTTGTTAATTTTCTGATTGCAAGACTGAAATAAAAATTCAAGTTGAACATTTTCCCCCAATATTCTGATATTTCTTACTGTTTATTCCTTGATTTCTCTTAGACATCTTTGCCGTCCTTGCCATAATCGGGAGAAAGCCAGAGGTCTTGGCAAATATATTTGCCAAAAGTGCCATGCCATAATTGAAGAACAGCCGCTTATCTTCAAGAACGACCCTTACCATCCTGATCATTTCAACTGTGCCAACTGCGGGTAATGGAAACCTAATATGAAAGGACATTTAATTGTTGGTATCACGATGTTTGATAATCAAATTTGAAAACAAAATATCCACTCTTATCAAAGACAAAACAATGAACAAGTTATTCCATAAACAATACACATCCCAATCTTGTGTAAATTCCATTGTATTCAATAATTAAATCACCAGTTATTTGTGCACAGCACTGACATCATAAAGCTATGTTAGAATCAAACAACATATAACAGTAATTATATTTCTTTCTTTTTTTTGATGATGATGATGATGATGATGATGATATTATCCATTCAGTCACGTCCCACTCTTGGCAATTCTTTGGGTCAAATGTCTCCACATCTTCCAATCTTGCACAATTTCTTAGAGTGTTTCTATGCTCTGGTTAATATCAGCTTTGATGGTCTCTAGTCACCATGTTTTTGGACAACCTGATTTCCTTTTGCCACTAACTCTTACAACATAATTGCATCTTCCAGTGAATTGTTTTTAAATTAACGATAAATCTGATAGGGTTTTTTTCTGAATTCTTTTCCTATCCAATTCCAGTCTGGATTACAAAGCTCATATCTGGATTTCACGTTAGCAAAAAAAGTGATCAATTTTTCACATAGAAATTTCAAGTGTGGATTCCCCAATTAAGCTGTGCTAAGGCAAAACATTAAAGAAAGTCTCCTATTTCTAGACTAGATGCCTAATCCAGATTGAGTTCCTTGCATTTTACTATACAGTTACAATGAAATAAATGTTATTTTTGTAAAGTAATATCTATTGATTCCAAGCCAATTTCCTGATCAAGTATTGTAGCTTTAATCACTGTACTTTCCTCAGTAACACCATATTATGTAAAAAGTGGTTGGTCTTATTTAGGTGCAGGCCTGCTCTTCATCTTGGCTCTTCTATCAGAATGTCTCCTTTTCTTGGGATAAGGGATTCTAGTATATGTGAACAGCACAGTAGTGCTTACGCAACCACCAGAGGTGGTATTCAGCAGGTTCTGACCAGTTCTGGAGAACCGGTAGCAGAAATTTTGAGCCGTTCGGAGAACTATCAAATACTACCTCTGATTTTACAGTATCCTTCCCCTGCCACGCCCACCAAGCCACGCCCACAGAACTGGTAGTAGAAAAATTTGAATTCCCATCACTGGCAACCACTCATCTGAACTCAATATTTTTTTCTATTTCATGGCAAGATGAATATTTCATTTTGAAAGTCATGCACTCCCAAAGTCTGTGTCTAAATCAAGATGGACAACTTTGGCTTTCCTGAATTTCCAACCACTCTAGCTCCAGTAATGAGGAGTGGCGGTTCTCCTTTGTCAACAACTGGATGATTAAAACTCTCCTAATCCTGATTTAAACATTACAGTAATAGTCTGAGCAACATACAGGTGAAACTCGAAAAATTAGAATATCATGCAAAAGTTCATTTATTTCAGTAATGCAACTTAAAAGGTGAAACTAATATGTGAGATAGACTCATTACATGCAAAGCAAGATAGTTCAAGCCGTGATGTGTCATAATTGAGATGATTATGGCTTACAGCTCATGAAAACCCCAAATCCACAATCTCAGAAAATTAGGATATTACATGCAATCAATAAAACAAGGATTGTACATAGAACAGTATTGGACCTCTGAAAAGTAGAAGCATGCATATGTACTCAGTACTTGGTTTGGGTCCCTTTTGCAGCAATTACTGCCTCAATGCGCCGTGGCATGGAAGCTATCAGCCTGTGGCACTGCTGAGGTGTTATGGAAGACCAGGATGCTTCACTAGTGGCCTTCAGCTCTTCTGCATTGTTCAGTCTCATGTCTCTCATCTTTCTCTTGGCAATGCCCCATAGATTCTCTATGGGGTTCAGGTCAGGCGAGTTTGCTGGCCAATCAAGCACAGTAATCTCACAGTCACTGAACCAGGATTAGGTGCTTTTGGCAGTGTGGGCAGGTGCCAAGTCCTGCTGGAAAATGAAGTCAACATCCTCATAAAGCTTATCTGCGGAAGGAAACATGAAGTTCTCCAAAATCTCCTGGTAGACGGCTGCGTTGACCCTGGACTTAATGAAGCACAGTGGACCAACACCAGCAGATGACATGGCTCCCCAAATCAACACAGACTGTAGACTTCAAGCATTTTGCAGTGTGTGCCTCTCCATTCTTCCTCCAGACTCTGGGTCCTTGGTTTCCAAACGAGATGCAAAAGTTGTTCTCATCAGAAAAGAGGACTTTGGACCACTGAGCAACAGACCAGTTCTGTTTTTCTTTAGCCCAGATAAGACGCTTCTGATGTTGTTTGTTGTTTAGGAGCAGCTTGACAAGAGGAATACGACATTTGAAGCCCATGTCTAAGATCCCTCTTGTGTGGTAGCTCTTGATGCACTGATTCCAGCCTCCGTCCACTCCTTGTGAAAGTCCCCAACACTTTTGAATGGCTTTTTCCTGACAATCCTCTCCAGGCTGCGGTCATCCCGGCTGCTTGTGCGCCTTTTTCTTCAACGCTTTTATCTTCCAGATAACTTTCTATTAATGTGCTTTGATACAGCACTTTGGGAACATCCAACTTCGTTCGTAATTACCTTTTGAGGCTTTCCCTCCTTATGGAGGGTATCAATGATGGTTTTCTGCACAACTGTCAGGTCAGCAGTCTTTCCCATGATTGTGATTCCTACTGAACCAGACTAAGAGACCATTTAAAGGCTCAGGAACCCTTCACAGGTGTTATGGCTTAATTAGCTGATTAGAGCAGGCCACTTTGAGCCTAGAATATTGAACCTTTTCACAATATTCTAATTTTCTGAGATTGTGGATTTGGGGTTTTCATGAGCTGTAAGCCGTAATCATCTCAATTATGACACATTATGGCTTGAACTGTCTTGCTTTGCATGTAATGAGTCTGTCTCATATATTAGTTTCACCTTTTAAGTTGCATTACTGAAATAAATGAACTTTTGCACGATATTCTAATTTTTCGAGTTTCACCTGTATATCATTCTAGACCAATATAATAGATTAAAAGCCCGCCCCATGTCTAATAAAGCGTGTTCAGTGATCTGTACACGCACCAATTACTATGTTTTGGGGTGAGGAAAATGACTTTTTCAGAGAATGTCCAGCCACATTTGAAGTGACTTTATTTCAATTGCCACGGCTTTATATTCTTTCCTTGATTTCTGAACAGAAAGGAACTGACTGCAGAAGCTCGAGAACTGAAGGGGGAGCTGTATTGCTTGCCTTGCCATGATAAAATGGGGGTACCCATCTGTGGGGCATGCAGGAGACCAATCGAGGGGCGAGTGGTAAATGCGATGGGCAAGCAGTGGCATGTCGAAGTAAGCTTTTTGTTTCTCCGTTAGTGTATTTATGGGTATATTCAACCTGGAAGGTTCCAGAAGAGTCTTCAAAACATTTAATAAACCCAATGTCATTTTATAGAGAGGAGCCTTTGTAATGATCTAAACCATAAGCTTTTCCATTGTAAGAATGTAAATGTTGGACTTGCTGAACTGATAGAAAAAAGAAACAATATTCTGAGAGCAAAAAGTTAATGCTGTTGGAAATTTTTCCGTGTGCTTTTTTAGTGGAATTCATGCTAGTCGGAAAAATGCTATTGGTGTGGGACAGTATTGAGTGAATGTAATTTAGTTTTAATCTTTCTTATTTTACATATTTTTACATGTGCTATATTTTTATCATTTATTTTATACCCATCTGATTTGCCCGGTGTTGAATATTATATGTTTATAATTTGAAGGTACTTCTGACACAAATAAAGAAAGAAGTAGAACTCATTTGCATGTACTTGAAATCTGAGTGACTGGTTTCAAATACATATGCTTTTATCACCTGTTAATATTTTAAAGATAACTTTTCTAGTATTGTAGAATTATTATTTAATTTCCCATTGCACCTTCAGTTGTGGTATTAAGCTAAGAGAAAGTGCAAGAGCCAGAGAACATTCATAGACAGAGTTTTATACAAAGGACTGCAGACAGCAGGTTCTGTTTCGATATATCAGATCAATCTGAATTTCTGGGTCACACTATTGTTTATAACAATGTGAATTCAGGAGAGAGTAAAAGAAGAAAAGAGGGCCGGTTATTTCCAGATTGTAGATATGTGCTGCATTTTTATTTCTTATGAAGTACATGGAAGGCTCTTGGAGATCCTGGCCTAATTCAATGCACTGTGTAGGCCAAGGGTCCTGTTATCATTACAGCATGAAAGTCTCAAGTGTGAAGAAATTGGACTGTCATTTGTCAGAAATGGGCGGAGGGTTGGACTAGATGATCTAAATGGGCGGAGGGTTGGACTAGATGATCTATAAGGTCCCTTCCAACTCTGATTATGTCATCCATGTAAGTGGTTGTGCAATATCTGTCAAATGTCTTCACAAAAAAGGACTTCTGAATAACTTTCTTCTAAATTAGACTAGCAAACTATTGGAAAGTTTCCTTTTTACTAAGTCAGTGTAAGTTGGATACTTTGTAAACAATTAGTTAAAATTTTGGTAAGGAAATAGATGCTAAGCTAGTGGGATTTTTTTTTTTTTACACAAGCAAGAGGAAGTCCAGCCTTCCTATAGTTTGTCCCTGTGAATCTGTTAAAAAGGTGAAATTTAATTTGATATCTTAATATTTACATAGAGTCTGATGCTTCGTAGAAAATTATTTTAAGAGTAAAGGTCACACCTTTTTATCCCATAGCATTTTGTATGTGCCAAGTGTGAGAAACCATTCCTGGGTCACCGTCACTATGAACGGAAGGGGCTGGCGTATTGTGAAACCCATTATAATCAGGTATGGTTGCGCCTTGCATTTTCTGTTTTAAATCTCACCAAGGGATTCCTAATACCTTAAATCTAAAACTGCAGTTCATAAGAAATAATGATGATATATGCCTACAGCAGGGGTGTCAAACTCAAGCCCCGGAGACCAGATCTGGCCCACAGGGTGCTTAGATCTGGCCCACGGGGCCAGCCTAGAAACAGCAAAGAAACAGCCCACAGTGCCTCTGCCAATGAAAACATAACTTGGGAAGATTGCATATGGCCCTCCTGAGCTCTGTTTTCACTGGAAGAGGGTTGCAGGAGGCCGTCTCGGCCAAAAACAGAGTTTGGGAGCCTGATTTTGCTGGCAGAATGCTGGGGCCACCACAGGCACCCCTGACATGAGTGACATCTGGCCATGCCGACCCCAGCCCTCCAAGGTAATACACAAGTCTGATGAAGCCCTCAATGAAATCGAGTTTGCCACTCCTGGCCTACAGTGACCATATGTCTTTTCTTTCAGAAAACTTCCTATAGATTTATTTATTTTCTTGGTAAAGCAAAATTCTAAATCTAAACAATTACACTTTTTACCTTTTACCTCTTTGAGATCTGTCTTTTTTTCAGGCTTATCCTTCCCCCCACCAAAAGAAAATATGCTCATTTTATGAAGGTATTAACAGTTTCCTAATTTCCATCTTATTTTTTTGTGAGACTAAAGCAAGTTTCAAATTTGAAGTGGGGGTTTGTTTATTTGTTTGCTCAAAACACCCCATTTCTGCTTTAAGAGAGTTAGAAGTATCTCTTCATGATCATTCTAGAATATTCTGCTTCAAGTATAAAACTAGTGATTTGAACTTGCCCATTTCAAGCTCAACACACTTGTAATAATTATAACCTGGTTTGAATCTAAACAAGTTAGCATGTGTTGAATGTCAGTACTTTGTAGAAGCAGGCATTCCCATAGCTTTTCTTTTAATTATTTAGAAAGAATAGTAAAATATGTAATTTCCTAAACCAGTGTTTCTCAACCTAGACAACTTTAAGATGAGTGGACTTCAACTCATTTGAAGTCCGCCCATCTTAAAAGTTGCCAAGGTTAAGAAACGCTGTCCTAAACCAAGATTCCCCAAATTTGTGGGTGGCAAGATAAAAATGAGTCCCAAGTACAAAATAATGTTTTGGATCATTTAGTATTTTGACCGAAAGGAAGCTCATTTTATAGAAAAGGAACTGATCAGGCTAAATGATGATTAGCTTGCTCAGAATACTGGATGGGAGAATTGGACCTCAAATCCAAAATTAGTCTTTTGAATTCACAATTCTCTCTCTTGTTGAGGTTCTCTTCCTCCAACTTTTTTCTCATCTTACTCTCACAGCATTCAAGATCTACTCAGTCTAGTTATTTTTCTCTCACCATTGCCACTTTTTCCACACATGCTTCACAGACCCATCCTTGCTCCTAACCCTTCCTGTTTCTGAGCACTGCCACTCCCTGGTTCTCCAAATTCAACTGCATAACATTTCTTCTTCTTTTTCTCTTAGAAAAAGTTGTTTTCAGAATGTTGGCATAGACTCAGAAGCAGAATGTTGGTCTTTAGCTGTTTATCCTCTTGCTTTTTCTAAACTGAAGAATGCCACGGGGCTGTATACGTATTGTGGGGAGTAGAGGCAAAAAAAGCTGAAATTACTTTTAGGGCAGAAAAAATATTTTCAATTTGACAAAGATTTTAAAATCAAGAATAGCAGGCAAATCCGAGGTCTCTATGATGCCCCTAGTTTTTTTTATTATTCAATTATAAACTTTATATTAGTGCCCAATTGAGTCGGGACATATTCAGAGTCCTCCACCAAGTGATGACTTGGAGTCTCAGCTTTATTCATTATTACTTTTTACAGAATACAAAATGTGTCCCGATCCCTGAGAACTCTGAGTGGCATACAACATCAGCAAAACAAAAAAATTCAAAATTTAATCAAAAATACATGCGAACAATGTTCAATTTTTTTAAAAAAATGCAAGAAACAAAAAGAAATCCAAATAAGCCCCAAGACAGCATATACATGTTAAAAAGGATTTTATTTTATTTATTTTTTTTGTCAAGCATGTTTTAGATAACAGATATAATTGGAAACATGATTAAGAGTACATGAAATGGGTATGACTAACGGAACATTAGGACAGGAACGGTAGGCACATTGGTGCTCTTATAGACCTCTTAGGAATGGGGTGAGGTCAGCAGTAGACAGTCTGAGGTTAAAGTTTTAGGAATTTGGGGAAGAAACCACAGAGTCAGGTAGTGCATTCCAGGCATTGACAACTATATTGCTGAAGTCGTATTTTCTGCAATCGAGTTTGGAGCAGTTTATCTTAAGTTTGTATCTATTGTGTGCTCGTATGTTGTTTTGGTTGAATCTAAATAGTCATTGACAGGTAGGACATTATAGCAGATAATTTTATGTATTATGCTTAGGTCAGAACGAAGGCAGTATAGTTCTAAGTTGTCTAAGCTGAAATTTCAAGTCTGGTGGTATAAATATTCTGTTACGAGCAGAAGAACGGAGGACTTTTCTCGTGAAATATCTCTAAACTCTCAATTGTATTAATATCCGATATGCAGGGCAGGTTCCAGACAGATGAGCTTTTATTCGAGAATTGGTTCAAATTGTATTGAATTGAATTGTATTTGAGAATTGAATGGGGGATAACATCAAATCTTGGGACATTCCGCAGCTGAAAGATCATGGGTGTGATTTCTTCCTCCCTCCCTGATCAACTAAAAAATTACTACTGAGGAAGGAGGCTAACCATTGCAATACAATGCCTCCGGCTCCCAACCTCCCACAGCCAGTCCAGAAGGATACCATGGATGACAGTATCAAAAGTCTGAGAGATCAGGAGCACCAGGATGAATGTACCACCCCTGTTGCATCTCCACCAAAGATCCTTGATAGTAATCATTGCTGTCTCCCTAATATGCCCTCAATCTGAAATTCAACTGATATAGCTCCAGATAATCCGTTTCCTTTAAGACTGTCTAGCTGCCATCCAACGGCTTTCTCTACAGCCTTCCCCACATGTTTTTAATATGTTTTATTGCTAATTTTACTTCTAATTCAAATTCTGACTCGGACTTACGTTTTCTCCATTTCCACAGCTCTTTGGTGATGTGTGTTTCCACTGTAACCGGGTGATTGAAGGAGATGGTGAGTTTCCATGGATATGTACAAGTAGTCTTTGACTTACAACCACAAATGAGCCCAAAATTTCTGTTGCTAAGTGAGAAATTTGTTAAGCGAATTTTGCCCCATTTTACAACCTTTCTTGCCACAGTTGTTAAGTAAATCACTGCAGTGGTTACAGCAGTGACACGGTTGTTAAATGAATCTTGCTTCCGTATTGATTTTGCTTGTCTGAAGGTTGCAAAAGGGGATGCCATGAGCCCGGGACACTAACGGTCATAAAAATGAGTCAGTTGCCAAGTGTCTGAATTTTGATCGCATGAGCACTGGGATGCTACGATTGTCATAAATGTGAAGTCACCTTTTTTTAGTGCTGTTGTAACTTTGAATGGTCACTAAACAAACTGTTGTAAGTCGAGGACTACCTGTACTTTTCTCATCATTGAAACATTCATTTCAAAGTAAAATACCCCAAATACTATAGTCGTGAAAATACCCAAGATGCTGAACATGGGTCTGAAAGCATTTAATATATTTTATTTATATATTCCTACCAGTGATATACCACCCATTCCCTCAGTGGATGCACAAGGCCTGATAGCTTCAAAACTTTTGAGCCTATGAAAATGTATGATTTATGATATGAAACATATGAAAGTAACAATAACATCAAAGTGTGTGCATCTTAAAATTAAATCTATCTAAGACAAGGGTCTTCAAACTTGGCAGCTTTAAGACTTCAACTCCCAGAATTCCTGAGCTAACATGCCTGGAGGATGAATTCTGGGAGTTGAAGTCCACAAGTCTTAAGGCTGTCAAGTTTGAAGGCCTTTTGTCTAAGATAATTCTTGCTGAGATTTATTCCATGTGACTGAATGAATGTAAGTCTAGGGAACATCTTTATAACCCTAAGCATGTGGATTATTACTGTGGCAAAGATAATAATTATAACAGCAACAGTATAAATTGTGTCTAGAGCCTACAAGGCTTAAGGTCTTAATGCAGCTCTCAATGGATCTTTCAAGCAATGCTTTTTTTCTCCTTTCAATCAAACATGTCCATAAGTTGCCTTTTAATCAGAATAATTGTAGCACAATGGTTAGGGTTAGGCTTAGAGAGCCAGATTGATTTTGAGAGACTTAAGTTCTAATCTGTTTCAGGCAGCAAAAGCCGGTTGAATGATCTTGGGCCAGTTAACGTCTCTCAGCCATGATAGCAGACTTGGGCAACCAGCCAGTTATTCATGTTGCAAGGAAAAAGATAACAGTAGTGAGACAAATGTAAAATAAATGTAAATAGGCTTGCTTATCTTCAGCAAGGCTTTTAAAACCATATTCTAGGGGAAAGGTTCTTTGGACACTCTTAGTCTTCATTATAGTAAGAACAGAGTTTTTGAATATAAGATTGTTTCCATTCGTGACTTTCAACATCAAGAGAATGTGGATTGTGTTCTAGGCTTTTTTTTAAAAAAAAGTTTAGACTACTGCTGATTAGAAATGCCCAATACTTTGATGGTACCTTTTTTTCTTTAGAAAAAGTGGGAGACAATTTTTCTAAGACCTTCAGTCTATGATTGTATTTTAGGCACGGCTTAAAAGTTTAAATGAGACTATGAAGATTTCATAATATAGAAGTTATACCTTTGGACCATTTTTCTGGTGATCTATGGTAAATAGTGATTTTTTAGTAAATGAATTAGAATATTTTGCTTATCTATTATAGTGCTTCATCTTGAATGCCTTGCAAACATATACAATAGTATGGTAGTTCTAGTAGAGGATTGTCAAACTCCTAGCCTGAGGCCAGATGCATCACATGCTGGCCACACCCACACCTGGTTTAGTGAAGGGAGGGAAGTCCCAGTATGTCATATGACACTGCCGTTCTAGTAGATCTACCATATTTGTGCTGAAAAATTCAGGACACCCACTAGGTGCCAACAGAGTTAGAGTTTGTAATGTCTTCAGTCTGGTCATCTAACTTTGGGGAAATACCAATATCATAAGGCCTGGCAATTACCCTTCCTGAATCATTCTATAAGGTGTTGTAGACTTTCGACTGCAGAACACAGGGCAGACTACTTTAGAAAGATTTCCCTAAAAATGAACATTTAAAAATTGTAGGCTTAAGCAAATGCAGTAAAGACAACAACACTTGGAAATAATTCTGCACGTTTGTTTTTGGCTGATAACAAATATAGAATATAAATACATGTTTTCAGTCTTTTTACAATTTTAATATGTTTAGAACCAATTTGGTGAACAATTAGGAAGGACTAGATAGTTACAAAATAATGTAAGGGAAGCCAGGTTTAATCCCTATATTTAACACTGGGTGGCAACAGCAGAAGAAACAACTACTTACCATGTCTGGGCTCCAGGCAGTACTGCCTGCAACAGATATCGGTTCCAGTTCTGTCAACTGTCCTGTGATACCAGTTGCTGAATTTAGCCTGGAATCAGAGCATTTAGGACAGGAATAGACAAGCTAATGTTCTCCAGAATTTTGAACTGCTAGCCCTGTAATCCCTTCCTCCTGGCCATTCAAAGTGAGGCTTACAGATATCGATTCACCATATCAAGATGTTATGTGTCCTGATGTAAGGGCTAAGTATGGTTGTGATGGTGCTGACAAATGTCCCTCATCACAGGATCAGTATTAAATTTTGCCTATGCAAATATGTAAAGTTAGACTACATGATGATTTGGACAACCTTGTATTTGTTTTTGTCAATATTAGTTCCATGACATAGGCTTTGAATGTATGATAATAAATGCAGCCAGTTTAGTTTGATTCATCTTGTCTTTTCTTTGCTCTTTTGTAGTTGTCTCTGCCTTGAATAAAGCATGGTGTGTAAACTGCTTTGCATGTTCTACTTGTAACACCAAGTTAACACTGAAGTAAGTATATCTATTTCTGGAGATAATCACAGAATTGATGATGTCACTTGTAAATTGAGGCCTCCCTTGGAAAATATTTATGATTGTTACAGCAAGTCTTGAGGAAGAGATGAAGCACACCGGAGTCTTGTCCAAACAAGACAGAAGCTAGGTTATATTCTTTAATGCTGTCATCTTTCATCGGTGTTTACTTTCTTTCAGCAGCTTATAATATTGTTTGCTTTACATTGTTGTGGAATAGAATAAGTAGAACTGTGTTGTGGAGAACAGATTACCATTAAGTTCTATTGACTCTGCAGCTGGATGGAAGTCAAAGAAGTTCAACAGCACAGAGCAGTTCAGGACACAGCGACTGTAAATGTAATGAGTTGTTCAGGTTGCTCTTTTAACACAAGAGATTCAGAGTATTCCCCCTCCCCTTATAGAATATCTGTAGTGCATTTGGGACATGTCTAATGTCTTTGGTAATCTTTGATATAAGATCACAGTTGCATCTGGAACTTCCATTGCTAATTTATGCAGTTGTCAATTGACTTGTGCCTGATTTTATGATCATGGGCATCACATGGACCACGCAATTGTTAAGAAAATCTAACTTCCATTTGGTTAGGACAAAAAGGATCAGTATAGAAGGTCTCAGAGTATATCTTTAATAGTGTGTTTAGTTTGGCAAGATTTCTATGGATGAGGAACAATAAAGGAAGCTGCTTAGAAGTAACTCTGCGTGTTTTTCCTGGTTTTTGGAGCCTGATGTAAGTATGTGCCAGGTGCTTGAACTGTGATCATGTGATTGTGGGGATGCTGCAACAGTCTTATGTGCAAGGACTGGTCATAAGTCACTTTTTGTAGTTCTGCCGTAGCTTTGAACTGCCACTAAATGAATGGTTGTGAGCCGAGAACTCTCTCTAGAAGAGCTGACCTTAAAATCTTAGAAATGTACTCCATGGAGGAATGCACTTTTTAAAAAACTTGCTGTGATAAAAGTATTTTGTAATAATTCAGTCCATGGAAAACAACAAGGATATCTTTTCCTATGAGTATATTCACTACTTTCTTTTTATTTCTATTTTTCTGCAGAATTCTTTCTACTTTACTTGTATCTTGATTCTTTCTTGTTCTCTCCTCCATTCCTTCTTTGCTCAACCTGAAAGGGACAAATTTGTTGAAATCGATCTCAAACCTGTCTGCAGGCACTGTTATGAAAAAATGCCAGAAGAATTTAAGCGGAGGCTTGCCAAGCGGGAGAGTGAAGCCAAGGACAAGGATAAACATAAAAAGAAAAAACCTGTCTGTCTGTAAAGCTTTCCTTTCTACCTTTCACCAGCTGTGCTCCTCCCTTTCTTTGGTTAGTTTGTGGAAATGTTTCCTTTATGCTTCTTTTATTCCAGTGCGCAAAACTGTTCTTTTTTTAACTATCTAAATGTTTAATTTCAACACATTTAAGTCCCAAGTCTAGACTGATAGGCCCTGTTCCCTGTGATCAGACTTGCCTTTTCTTCCCTGACCTCAGCAGTTTGGCCCAAGAAAAATCTTTGATTGAGAAATGCTTTTCTGCAGATACAGGATGTACTCTTTCTGCCAAAGCAGATTATATGTTATAATTCATGTGGAGATTTATATCGAAAGTGGATTCTCCCAGATAAGTTTGGCTTTTGCTTTACATAGTTCATTGTAGAAGTGTGAGTGTAAAACTTTGTATTTTAATTTGTCATAGCCCTGTAATTTCTGCTGTATCCAACCTATTTGTTCCACGTCAGTTAAGGAGGAAAAGATAAAATGACTACATGAAATCTTTTGATTGGTTCCCAAAGCGTCATTTACCTTGCAGTCACGAAACTATTGGTTGAAATTCATTATTCATTCATTCAGAACAAATCTATTGAGAAAAATGTGCAATATATTAACTTAATACTTATCTTTTTAAGGTAATCAATTTATGAAGGTAATCAATTCTCTCTTCTAATGTCAGACATTAGAAAGAAAGACATTAAAGAAAGTTATTTTAAAAAGCATTTATATCATGTGCTCCAAGTGTGAAAAATAACCTTTTACCAAAGTTTACTATATAAACTTTTAGTTTATATAGTCTCAGGATGTGTAAAGTCATTGTATATGTTTTCCATTAACACTATCCATATAATTCTACATGCTAATGTTAAGAGGTGAGAAAGAATTCGCCCTTAAAAAGAGAAATGTTTGGTGAGACATTATCTGAAGCTTGTAGCTCTCTAGTTCACACATGGCTCCAGAGTAGAGGGTGCAGTTTTAAAATCATTTTTAAATCACTTTCTTATGCAAATATTAGTACAAAGAAGCTATACATATGATCAAATTATACTGAGAAGCCTCCATTCAAAAGTTAAGTAGGAAAGGAAAGGAAAAATAGAAATAGAAATGGGGAACCATTAGCCTTCTAAATACCAATCTATTCTCAAAGTTGCAGTCGTATCTTCAGGATCAATTCATTCATCAAAATCAAGCATGTCAAATTTGCACCCATGGGCCAGATGAATCATGCGCTGGCCAAACCCACCCCCGTTTTAGCGAAAGAGAAAAAGTCATGATACATGACGTAATGTGAGTTTGACACTCCTGATCAAAATAATAGAAGTCTCAATGAAAGCCCCCCCCCCCCATTGCCATGTGCATATAACATAATAAGTGTGATTATAAAACCTTGCAAGCAATGCTGCTTTCATTCATGGCACAAACGTTTCTGCAAAATGTTTCGATGCATTGGTCATACCTTTCCTATCAACAGATTTTTGCTGCACTTTGAGAATTTTCAACCACTTTGGAAAGCAGGGCAACATTGCATACATTAACTGAACAGGTTAGTTCTTCCAGCTGCTTTTATCAGCTGTCAAGGATGACCAAGCATTGCACAGTTGGTTTTTGGCAGCTGATTTCATTGATCTTCAGTTCTTTGATGTGCTCTTCCTGTTAGCAGCTGTTCCAAACAGTTGGAAGTTTTAATTAGGTTCCTAAAATGCTTATCTTCCACCCTTAGCAGTTGGCCAAAGCAGTCACTGTTTTTCAAGAGCTTTCCTGGTTCGTAAACATCAAGATGGCAAAAGTTATGAAACTGACAAAGAGCCATAGAAAACTTAATTTTTCTGTATAATACTGTATATTGGAAGATATGGTGGTAAAGAGAATCATGCCAGAAACAAAATATGGTATTTATGCTGAGGTAGGGTGGTTTTCTGGGGAAAAAAAATAAAATAAAACTATTCTTACTGTAGCAACAATATTCTTTAGTTTTAATAGGATGGAGAGATTTATTGGAATGCGTTTTCTGACAGATGTTAAACAAGTCTCGGATTGTATAATGTTCTGCTCCTGATTTAAACTGAAATTTTTGAGGACTCATTTTTAAATTTATGTATGTTTCTCCAACAATACGGCCTCCCCCAATAGGAAGTCCCAGCATGTTTTATAGGCATAAAATCAAATTAAGCCCCTCCCCCAAATTAAGGCCTATATTAAACATGCGAAATGGGGGGAATGGCGGGGGGGCTTGCCATTAGGAAGTACTTTTGTTGCATACCCGGATATGGTGCTGCCTGCGTTGACTTCAGTGTTGGTGGGGCACCTCGTATTGGGAGACCTTCTGCCACCATTGCTTTCCCTTCTCCCCATGCTGCCAGCATTTGGCGCAGCCACACACAGCCAACCAGGGCTCCTCCCTGCAACCGGAGCCTGGCGGAGACACCCGGCTTCAGGCGCTCCTGTCACCGCCTTCCCTTCGCCTTCGAAGGCAAAGCTAATTCTTTTAAAAACGACGCCCTACTACCAGTACGACAAAGCCTCCCCTGCCCGAGAGGGCAGCCCAACCCCACGTGGGGAGGCGAATCTCCCAGGGCTGCAGCGCAGGATCAGCCCACCCTGGGAAAAGTGCCCAGTCGCCATCCCTGCCTGGCACTGGGCAGAGCGTGAAGAGCTTCGCCTGGGGTGCCCAGTACAGCTGACAGGTGGGCCCTCCTGCCCGGCGGTGGAGCTCTCGCTAAGGCAGCAAGCGCCTCCCCGCCAGGCCCCCCATTCATCCTGCCAGGGCCATGCCAGAGCCATGCGGGCTAGGCAGAGCCAGGAAAGCGAGCCGCGGGTGCGCGCCTGCCTGCCAACCCAAAGAGCTGGGCAGACCCGAGCTGGCTTCCTTCCCAAGTCCCTCCAGCCCGAACCCGAAGGGGCCACTGGGAGAGCCTGCTTGAGGCAGTGATAGCGCCCACCCATTCGTGGACAGGGAGGTGAGGCGAAGGCAGCGCTGCTTCCCTGGCCGGCGGGAACAACGGAGAGAGCCCGAAGCCACCCGCCCTTTCCACCCCTCGTCCAGCCCGTCTCCGTCCCCATGCATCTCCAAATGTGCTGGCAGCTCCAAACGCTGCAGCAGCATGGGCATCGGGCAGAGGCGCTCACTCGGCAGGGCTCAGCTCAGAGGAGGACACGGCGCAGGCCATCGCCTTGCCTCCCTGACCATGGATGGGTCAGCGCTATCACTGCCTCGGGTGGCCTCTCCCGGTGGCCCCTTCGGGTTTGGGCTGGAGGGACTTGGGAAGGAAGCCAAGCTCGGGTCGGCCCAGCTCTTTCGCTTGGCAGGCGGGTGCGCACCCATGGCTCGCTTTTCCGGCTCTGCCCAGCCCGCATGGCTCTGGTGCGGCCCTGGCGGGATGAGCAGAGGGCCTGGTGGGGAGGCGCTCACTGCCTTGGCGAGAGCTCCACTGCCGGGCAGGAGGGCCCGCCTGTCAGCTGCGCTGGACACCCCAGGCAAAGCTCTTTGTGCTCTGCCTGGTGCCAGGCAGGGATAGCGGCTGGGCGCTGCTCCGGGGTGGGCCGATCCTGCGCTGCGGCCCCGGGAGATTTGCTTCCCCACGTGGGGTTGGGCTGCACTCTCGGGCAGGGGAGGCTTTGTTGTACCGGTAGTAGGGCATCATTTTTAAAAGAATTGGCTTTGCCTTCGAAGGCAAAGGGAAGGCAGCGACAGGAGCGCCTGAAGCCGAGTGTCTGCCAGGCTCCGGTTGCAGGGAGGAGCCCTGGCTGGCCACGCGTGGCTGCGCCAAACGCCGTGGTGTTGCTCTAAACGCCGCGGAAGCACAGGGAGAAGGGAAAGCAACAGTGGCGGAAGATCTCCCAGTACGAAGTGCCCCACCAACGCCGAGGTCAACATCCAAGCCGTTGCTGCCCGCCCGCCTGAGGATGAAAGGGGGGGAATTAAGTCACCCCCGAAAAGACAGCCTAGCCATTTTTTCGGGGGTCAAAAAAAAAATAAAGCCCGGCCTTGTTTTGTGAGAAACACGGTATGTATGTATGTATGTATGTGTATGAAAATAAGTTAACTTATGGTTAACTGTGAATATTAATTTGTATCGTGAAGGTTAATTTTCAACATTTTTTTTCAGAAATAAATTTGTGGAATTTGATATGAAGCCTGTCTGTAAGAAGTGCTATGAGAAGTTCCCACTGGAGCTCAAGAAGAGACTGAAGAAATTGGCTGAAACTCTAGGAAGGAAATGAGATATTTCATCTTGCTATGCAAATTTAAGGAAATGAGATTCATATTCCCACTTATTTTCATTGTGTCTATGAAAATCTATGCTCTTAAAAAAATCCCTCTGCATGACTAGCTTAATACAAAAATATATACCTTGCCATAAAATCTTTAATGTCTTATGCTATATGTACCTTTAAATTATGTATTCTATGTTTATATAAATTTTTAGATAACTCAGTCTTAAGTGGAATATTAAAACACAGCCTTTAAATTGCAATAGAGATCACTCTACTGGGCCACTAGTGCTGATCTCAAATGAATAATAACCTAGCATAGCCTCCACTTATCTAGAATTTTCCAAGTGCTGAGCTTTTAATTTCCAAAATTCTCAACCAACCCAACAGATTAGGAAAGCAAATTCTCTTGGCTAAAAATCCAGATTTTAGGAACATGTGCCTGCCAGGAAGTGACTGCTGGAGCAAACCAAGTAAACCTGTAAGCTGGCAATTTATAAACACTAACCTGTAAAATCCCATTGAATTCAATGGCTTTCAGCTCTGTAGACAGATATAGGACTACATGGTTAAGGAGATCGAAAAATATTAGAATTCAATATAGGTCAGGATAATTAAAAAAAACCAGACTTGTGGCGTGAGGGCTTTGAAACATATTTTATGTAATAAATTTTATATTTCATATTATTTAGAATCAAAACAAGATGCATTTCCTTTGATTCTAAACTGTCATCTCTGGTGTTAAAAATTATGAGACAAAAGACTAGAGATTTTTTTTGTAGGCAGTAAGTTCTTGTTTAATCTTAGCTTATGAACTGATAAAACTATAGTTTTCCAATATTATATTGCTGTCTTAGGAAAATGGCAACAGCAAACATTCTCAGTATTTAGAAAGATTATATTTTATCAGGATATCTCGTTGATTCTGTCTGCTAGCTTGACAGAAAGAATTCAAGTTATTGAGATTTTTTTTTTAAACTAGTCAAATTGGGGATGAATTGTGTACTAAAACCTTAGCTCAAACTATTACAAATGCAGAAATGATTTGTTCAGAAGTTTCTGATCATGGTAAATATTTGAGAACTGCTTTCAGATTCTGGTAAGCCTGAAGCCCAAAGTGTGAGATGTCAACATATTTCTGTGTCAACAGAGGTCAACTACTTGAATTTTGTAAAGATTTTTTTCTTGGATCCTTCGGTATTTTATTTCCCTGTGCCTTAATTATGCTGTATATTTACAACATTAATCAAAATATTTACTCATATTATTTTATTAGAAAATATACGCCTTGTACTCTAGGAAGTAGCATATACTAAACATTTTGAACTTTGTTTTAAATAATGGAAAGTATTAAGGATGGAAAGCACATTTCCTTTCTCTCTTCAGCTCACTTATTTTTAAATTTTACATGAAATAAAACCTGAACATATTTCAATTATGGACATGCATTGTCTTAATGAATCAACAATATAGTGACAATCATTGGTTATTTACACTTAGGCAGGACCTAAATAAATATTGCAATCTTCAGAACTCAGAAATAAAATCCTTTGAGTTCAATGGTACTTAGTAGAGGTGGTATTCAGCAGGTTCTGACCAGTTCTGGAGAATCGGTAGTGGAAATTTTGAGTAGTTTGGGGAACTGGCAAATACCACCTCTGACTGGAGATTTTACAGTATCCTTCCCCTGCCACGCCCACAGAACTGGTAGTAAAAAAAAAAGAATCCCACCACTGGTACTCAGGCTCATAATAATCAATTTATCTAAAATAAGCACTTTGAACTCAAAGGGATTTACCTATAAGTAAAAAAAAATAGATTGCAGTTTTCATTAAATAAATTACGATTTCCAAAGTACAATATATATTCTCACTTATAAACTATTTTGAATTTTACAACTGTGAAGTTTAAAAATGTTAAGTCTTAATGCTAAATAATAACATACCTATCCAAAATCAAGTATTTAAAGAGATTAAAGCATAAACCTCAATCCTATTTTATTTCTATAGTATGAACAATAATTAAAGCACCCTGCTGTGGAGAATTGTAAAATCCAGAACGTCCTATAGCAGGGGTAGACAAACCCAAGGACAGGTATTGCCCTAGCGCATCTAAGCTGTATCACCAAAGTTCAACAACAAATAGCCAACTTTAATAGTTACCAACTGCCTTATTTACTTCCATCCCATGGAGATAGGTCTCTTAAAGATAATTGATATGAAGATACTTATATAGAAAAAAGAAAAGAAAAAAAGGAATTTTGCAAATATTTCTATTGAAAGTATTGAAGAATTCTAGCTTGGAAGCAGTCAGGTTTTCCATCCTACAGAAAGGATTATTTTGTGGCAAGGTTTAGAAATTATTTAAGAACCATCCAGGTGTCTTTATGTGGCACGTGTTCATCTATCTTTAGTTTTTAACTTGGTGGGGAAAAAAACTAGTGTGGAAGGTTGATAGCCTCCAACATGAGAAAACAGATGTGTCTGATTTATATAAAATTTAGTGCACATAGATCAAATATGGATATTTATTGGAAAAACTATGTGTAATGCAGTCGAGTTGTATCCTAGTGCCATTTCTCCCCCACCAGTTTCCCCCACATCACCTATTGGCTAAGGAGCTACTGTATTCTGTTATATGCAGATAATATGGCTTTCAACCACACAATTTGGTTTATGCAGACTTTGAAAAGTTTGAGCAAATTGCAGGTTACAGTCTCATAATTAATTGTCAAGGACAGGAGCTCTTCTAATTATTATGGTGTTTTTGATTACAGTACTTCTCCAACAAATATTTTAAATTTCTAATATATCCAGTGTCTTTAAAACATTATTCCTTTATATTAATTTCCATACAGATTTTTAACTATCTCAGACTGGAGTTCCCCATCACTACTTCGGTATGCTCAGATAGATTAATGATACTTTCACTTTTAGACCTGCTTTTAACTCAGAGAAAGTGGATAAAAATAGCTTCTTCCTTGAACATCTTGGAATTCAATCCTTTCGTCAAGCTTTCCTCATGGACTCCCAAATTGTTCTTTCCAAATGCCACTTTCCACTAGCTAGCTAGTCCACTGCACTTTTTTGATTCAGCTTACTCCTCAGTTACAAATTCCTCCTTCTTGCAGTGATCCTTTCTCCAATTGTTCCTTTCTCCAATTGTTCCTTATTCACACATTACCAACCTACTGCATTTGCCCTTAGGTATTGCCACCAAAAAAACCTAAATATACCTGTTCATAGATGACTTAAATTAGGCAAAAAGCATAGCATTGGGAAGGACAAAAAACCTGAACCTCGATTACTTTATAATGTCCCAATCAGGCAAATCATAGCCATCTACCCTAAAACCAAGATAATGGGTTTTTTTTTCTCAAAAGACAAACATAAATGGTTTTTTGATGACAATATACTGGACAAGTAAATTATTTGAAGTATCTTGGTATTTATTTTTCCCAAAAGTAAACTCTTACTTTTGCCATGATCTCCACACATAACTGATGCTAAAATGAGGACCCATGTCCCAAGGCTGAGGATGGAAACTCCGCCACTGAAGACAGCCTGAAATATATCTTCTGCAATTACATGAACTGTGGTTCGTCACAAACAATAACAATGTTTTGCGGTCAGAGCCACAGTTTAGCAAGCCTGTGCCCTCCACTTAATGAGCTCAGTAGAAGCATGCCTGACAGAAAAGCTAAAAAGGTGAGAAAGGCTGCCAGTGTACTGGTGTTCATTGATATCAGCCAATGAACCATCTCTATGGCATTCCTGCTATTTCTATTACTTTTCAGAGTGACGAACAATGCAAGAATGGCAGGGAGTCAGATACATTCCTAAACATTATTCTCACTATCTTCTACTGACTGTTAATTTTCAGGTCTGATGGAAAGGAAAAATCATGGTCTACCAAGTTGGCCAGATAACCTATCCTAGGGTCAATCCCTAGGTTAACCTATATACGAACCTTGGTGGCACAGTGGTTAAAATGCAGTATTGCAGGCTAATTCAGCTCAATGCCAGTTCGATCCTCATCAGCCTTTCATCCTTCCAAGTTTGGTAAAATAAGGACCCAGATACGCTGAGTCTGAAAACCGCTTAGAGAGGGCTGTAAAGTACTCTGAAGCGATATATATATAAATCGAAGTGCTATTGCTATAATGGGGTCTGAATATAGCTCTGAACTGCTATCACCCAGATCTTCTGCAAATACAAATACATTCCATTTATTTATCCACATTAATAAAAATTCTAAGGTTTTGCTAAGGTGGCAAGGGCTTGGACAATATAAGCCTTTGGGCTGAACCCTATCAGAAAGAACACAAAGCTCCCATTAATACTTCCCAAGACTGATGAAATATTGTGAGAAAACAGGAATGTTAATTCTAAAATAAAAATAAAATTAAGTTATTCTGCAAATACCTCACATAAGTTCCATAACTATTTAACATTTGCCTTTAATTTCTGTTAAATGAGGCAGTCCGTAGAGGTTGTAAAAATAAGGTTTTATTACAGTACATAAAATATTTTTAATTCGAAGAGTGCTGCACCATAGTATATGTGGAAAAGAACATATCGTCTGTGTCAAATATGTGGGCTTCAAATATCCATTTTGTGACAAAATAAGATACGTAGGAAAGGTGCAGCAGCGTTACTTTTCCACCAAGGCTTCCTTCCTTGCCTCTGTGTAACTGCTCCGTAATTTACTAATTCTGTGCTATCAAGCCAGGGTCGCTTCTTACGACTAGATAAGTAAATTTCTCCAGGGTGTAAGAAGGTAGAAAGCAGCCTATTTTCCTTGCTGCCATATGTTCCGAAATAGCTTTCTAGATTTCGCTATCGTTTCCAAACGCCAATTCTCATTTCGTTTCCCCATACACAGAAGCGTCGCTCTCACCGGGCCACCGCCTGAGGGGGATGTATGCCAGCGTCAAATTCAGCAAACTTTAAGACGCGTGGACTTCAACTCCCAGAATTCTTCAGCCAGCACGAAAATGAGACAAGTCGTCTTTAAAAAAAAATATATTTATGAAATGCGACGCCTATATAGGTCATTTCCGCTCTCTCTCCCTCTTCTTTCCGTCGCGACCCTGTTGACGTACAAGCGGTATTTATTTCTGCGCGAGTTTGCGCGAGTTTGCGCGTTTGGTGGCGTCACCGTTCTGGGAGAGGTGATTGCTTTCAGTCTAGCTCCGGCTCGGTGCGAGCGCTTTCTCTCGGCCTCGCTTGCCGAGAAGGAAGCTGGGGGCCGCCTTGAGTCTCCACCATGATGAGGCGCAGCAGGGCGGAAGTGGACCGCTATGTTTCCTCCTTACAGGCCTCGGCCCCTTCGCCGAAGGAGGTGAGTGAGGCCAGTTACGTGGGGGCGGCGGCGGCGGCTTTCCGCCTCCTCCCCCCTCGTTTCTAGATTTTTCGGCGGCCTTTTTCGAGCTGTCCAATGAAAACGAGGTCGCTGCCGCATGTGCGCGGAAGTGAGGACGCTTCGCCTCTTGGGGGACGGGGGGGCGGGAGCGTCCCACGCGTGTGGCGTCTTTTCGGGGCTTAAACCGGGAGCGGGGCCGACGGCGACCAGCTGGCTGGGCTTTGAACTCCGTTGGCTCCTCGCGTATCTGTCATTAAAAACAAAAACAAAACCTGTCGAATAGAAAACAAAAACGCGGGCTGCGCAGCACTCCAGAAACTGTCAAGCAAAGTTTCATGGATGAATTCTTTGAGTCTCGGCTTTTTAATTAAGGACTAAAACAGAGGTCTCCAAATTTAGGAACTTCAAGACTTGTGGACTTCAACTCCCAGAATTCCATGGCCGGCTGGAGAATTCTGGGAGTTGAAGTCCAACAAGTCTTAAAGTTGCCAAGTTTGGGGACCCCTGGACTTAAAATGACCTTAGTGGGCGATTTTCCTGGCAGCGAAGGGGAGAATGCCCTTGTATTGATCTGTCTGGACTTTAACAATACCAATGCGGTAGCCATCCAGGATGGCTTGGGGTGGGTGGGAATGAATAGAATAGAATAGGAATAGAATAGAATAGAAAATAGAATAGAATTCTTTATTGGCCAAGTGTGATTGGACACACAAGGAATTTGTCTTGGTGCAAATGCCCTCGGTGTACATAAAAGATACATTAGTCAAGAATCAAGAATTGTAAGGGTTAATCATAATCATAATATGTAGAGTTAATCATCATAATGTAGGGTTACTGAAGTTTTAAGTCTTGAGAAGTTCAGTCCTGCAAGGTGATTGTCTGT